TAATTCTTACAGTTTTTCTGTGGAGTTTTTAGGGTTTTTTATATATAAAATCATGTCATCTACAAACAGGGACAATTTTACTTCTCTGACCTGGATGCTTTTTATTTCTTTTTCTTGTGTAATTATTTTGGCCAGGACTTCTAGCATTGTGTTAGGTAAAAGTTGTGAGAGTGGGTATCTTTGACTTATAAATGATATTTGAGGAAAAACTATTAACCATTAAGCCTGATGTTAGCTGTGGGCTTTTCATATATGGCCTTTATTGTGTTGAAGTACATTCTCTCTATTAGTAGTTAGTTGAGAGTTTTTTTTTTTTTTTTTTTTGAGACAGAGTCTCGCTTTGTTGCCCGGGCTAGCGTGAGTGCTGTGGTGTCAGCCTACCTCACAGCAACCTCAAACTCCTGGGCTCAAGCAATCCTTCTGTCTCAGCCTCCCGAGTAGCTGGGACTACAGGCATGCACCACCATGCCCGGCTAATTTTTTCTATATATATATATTTTTAGTTGTCCAGATCATTTCTTTCTATTTTTTAGTAGAGACAGGATCTCGCTCTTGCTCAGGCTGATCTTGAACTCCCGACCTTGAGCGATCCACCTGCCTCGGCCTCCCAGAGTGCTAGGATTACAGGCTTGAGCCACGGCACCTGGCCTGTTGAGAGTTTTTAACATAAAAGGATGCTGAATTTCATTAAACAATTTTATGCATCTATTGAGATTATCATGTGGTTTTTATTCTTTATTCTATTAATGTGATATATTACATTAATTGGTTTTCATATGTTGAACCATTTTTGCATCCCAGAGATAAACCTCACTGGGTCATGGTGTATGACCATTGTAATATGGTGTGAATTTCATTTGTTAGTATTTTGTTGAGGATTTTTGCATCTGTGTTCACTAGGGATATGGCCTGTAGTTTTCTTGTCTTGTGGTATCTTTGTCTTATTTTGGTATCATGGTAATGCTGGCCTTGTAAAATGAGTTTGGATGTTTCCCTCCTATTTGCTTCTTTGGAGGAGATTGAGAGACATTGGCATTAATTCTGCTTTGGATATTTGGTAGAATTCACCAGTGAAGCCATCTGGCCCTGTGATTTTTTTGTTGTTGGAAGGTTTTTGATTAATTATTCAATATCCCCACTGGTTATTGATCTGTTCAGCTTTTCTATTTTTTCATGACTCACTCTTGATGGGTCATATGTTTATAGAAATTTATCTATTTCTTCTAGGTTATCTAATTTATTGGCATATAGTTGCTCATACTAGTCTCTTATAATCCTTTTTTTATTTCTGTGGCATCCTTTGTAATGTCTTATCTTTTGTTTTTGATTTTATTTTTATTTGAGTCTTCCCTCTCTTTTTTTCTTAATCTGGCTAACAGTTTGTCTATTTTGTTTATCCTTTCAAAAAACCAACCATTAGGTTTTTTTTTTTTTGAGACAGGGTCTTGCTCTATTGGGGCTAGAGTGCTGTGGAGTCATCATAGCTCACTGCAGCCTCAAAGTCCTGGGCTCCAGGTATCCCCCATCTAAGCCTCTGGGACCACAGGCACATGCCACCTGCTAATTTTTCTATTTTTTTATAGAGATGGCCTCTTGCTTGTGCTCTGGCTGATCTCTAACTCCTGGCCTTCAGCAATCCTCCTGCCTAAGCTTCTCAAAGTACTAGGATTATAGGCATGAGCCATCATGCTTGGCCTAATCCTTAGTTTTGCTGATTTTTAAAAATTGTTTTTGTATTATCTATTTCATTTATTTCTGCTCTAATCTTTATTATTTCATTTTTTCTGCTCACTTTGAGTTTAGTTTGTTTTTCTTTTTCCCATTCCTTGTGGTGTAAATTTAGGCTATTTATTTGTAATCTTTCTTCTTTTTTTCATGTAGGCATTTATTGGTACAAACTTCCCTCTTAGTGATTTTGCTGCACCTCATAAGTTTTGGTATGTTGTGTTTTCATTTTTCATTTGTCTCAAGATATTTCCTAACTTCTCTTTTGATTTATTCTTTGACCATTGGTTGCTCAAAGTGTGTTGTTTAATATCCACATATTTGTAAATTTTCTAGTTTTCTTTCTGCTATTGGTTTCTAGTTTTATTCCATTGTAATCAGAAAAGGTACTTAGTATGATTTCAGTCTTGAATTGTGAAGATTTGTTTTGTTACCTAACACATAACATGTGATCTATCCTGGAGAATGTTCTGTGTACACTTGAGAAGAATGCATATTTTGTTACTGTTGGGTGGAATAGTCTGTCTGATAGTTTTGTTTGGTTGTGCTTACCTTTAAACAGTTAGGAAGTAGTAATATTTCCGTGTGCTCAGAAAAAGAAGAGAACTTAAAATATTGCTGAACACTAGTAATGTTTACCACATCTATGAAGTTTCTACAAATGAATATGCCTTGCTTGAGTTTTGTTGTGTTTATTCGCTCCGTGGATTGGTGTGTTTCTTCACCAACACTTCACAAATTCCCAGCCAATACTTTTTGAATTTTGCCTTTGCTTAATTCTCTCTTCCTTTCTGTCTCTCTGTGACTCTGTCTCCCTCTTTTCCTTGCCATATTTCGACTTAACTTCTTAATCTATTTTATGTCTCTGTTCTCTCTTTTGTATTTTTCATCCTTTTGTTTCTCTTTACATCATTCCAGATAATTTCTTCTGACTTATTATTCACCTCAGTAATTTTTTTTTTTTGAGTCAGGGTCTTGCTCTCTCACCCCTGCCAGATTGCAGTGGCCTCATCACAGCTCACTGCAACGTTAAACTCCTGAGCTCAAGCGATCCTGCTGCCTCAGCCTCCTGGGTAGCTGAGACTATAGGTGTGTGCCACCATGCCCAGCTAATTTTCTATTTTTTTACAGAGACAGGGTCTTGCTCTTGCTCAGGCTGGTCTTGAACTCCTGAGTGCAAGTGATCCTCCTTCCTTGCCCTCCCACAGTGCCAGGATTACCTCAATATCAGACTTTTAAAAAAAACTGTGAGTAAGCCTCTCGGGATGTCTCCCTTTTTACTATTTCTTTAACCTCCTTCTCACTTATTTTTATTTTCTTCCTGGAATGGACCTACCATTCTATGGTAGGTCCATTCCATAGGTTCTATGGACTGAACTGTGTCTTCCTCCAAATTCATATATTGAAGCCCTCATTCCAGTGTGACTGTATTTACAGATAGGGTAGGAGGTATAATAATTAAGGTTAAGTGAGATCGTAAGGGTGGAACCTAGATCTGATTGAACTTGTGGCCTTATCAAAGAGGAAGAAAGAGAGAGATCTCTCTTTCTCTCTCCCCATGTGCATATAGCAAGGAAAGGCCACATGATCATGCAATGAACTGGAGGCTGCCTAGAAGCCAAAAGAAGCAGCCTGGGAATGCAATCTGTCTTGCCAGCGCCGTGATCTTGGGCCTCCCAGCCTCCATGACTCTGAGAAAATAAATTTCTCTTGTTTAAGCTATCCAGTCTATGGTATTATGTTATGGCAGTCCCAGCAGACTTATATACCAGGGTACTTTTCCAGTTTAGCATCTTCCCAGATGTTTCCCTCTTTTTTTTTTTTTTATTTCAGCATATTATGGGGTACAGATGTTTAGGTTGCGTGTGTTGCCCTTGGTTCCACCACCCCCAAAATTTCCCTCTTTTGATGCACCATTTCTGTTTTTCTGCATGGAAGCACAAGAGCCCAGGTCTAAACCTGAGGAATGTGAGTAGGTATCCCAGGGACCAAAGTCTTGATTAGATTCCCCCCAAAATCTCATTTTGCTTACTGCAATCTAAAACTAATGGAGATGATTCTAGGGCCTTGGGAAACTCACTGCTTTGTTTCTGATAGGAAAGCAGGAACCTAGGCTACTGACTAAGAAAGTGATATGATAAGAGAGAGGTGGTCTAGGTCTCAGTTCCAGGCAAGACCAAGGCAGCAGTATTGCTCTCCCAGTCAGGAGTCTGCTTTGGATGAAGCAATCGAGGTAGGCATATAAATCTCCAGCCCGTCCATTCTGGTGCTCTGGAGGGAGCCCTTGGATTAGCTTTATATTGTAGTGTAACAAATTACCTCCAAAGTTGGTAGCTTAAAAAAACAAACCTTTAGTACCTCACGGTTTCTGTGGGTCAGGAGTCTGGCATGGCTTGACTGGGTCCTCTAGCTCAGGGACTCTCACAAGGCTGCAGCCAACTTAAGGTTCAACTCGGGGTGGATCCCACCCAAACTCATTCACATGGTTATTAGCAGGATTTAGGCCTCCATGCGCTGTTGAATTGTTCCTTGCTGGCTTTGGCTAGAGGCTTCTTGCAGTTCTTTGCCATGCTGGTCTCTTCATGAACGGAGCTCACAGTGTGGCAGCTGGCTTCATCGGAGCAAGCAACTGAGAGAGCAAGTAGGACAACAAAAGAGAAGGCAGAATATTCTTGAAACCAAATCTCTTAAGTGACATCTCATTGCTTTTGCCAAATTCAATTTGTTAGATTCAAGTTACTAGGTCCAGCCCATACTCAAGGTGGAGATTACACAGGGGCATGAATACCTGGAGGCAGGAATAACTGGGACATTTTAGAGGCTGCTTTACCACTGTCCATTTGTTCCTAAGCTAGATGAGAGTGATCCCCATGGGACAGAGGAGGAGAGAGAGGACTCCTGTGCTGGCCTCACAGGCTGTGAGCTGTGACTGAGATGGGGAAGCTGGACTCCTCTCAGTCTGGGGCACATTTGCTGGGAAGGCAGCATGCAGAGTTCTCTGAAGGCCTGTACTCAGCGATGTGCCCGGACCTAGTCCTACTGAAAATAATTGCGGGGTCTTGCCAATTCCATGTTCAACGATGCCAAGTTGGTGGCTTAAAATTGGCCATAGTAGGAATATTTACATCACAGAAATCAACAAATGATATATACTGGGGAATTTTTACCCTTCTCCCCCACAGAGAGCTAATTTTAAAATATTACCAATATACCACTGCTTGGTTTCCTAAAACCTGTCCCATGTCATGTGTTCTGTGTCTGTGTCTCTCTTGCAGATTTGGAGCTAAGGCTGAGGAATGGAGGCCACCGCTGTGAGGGGAAAGTGGAGATGAAGCTCCGAGGAAGTTGGAGGGGCATAAGTAATTACCAATGGCAGTTGAAGAACGTGGCTGTGCTGTGCAGACAGTTGGGATGTGGAGCTGCCGCTGAAGCTGCCAGAGGGGAGCGTTTTGAATCAGGAGTTGGACTCATTTGGCCTCTATATTTTTCATGCCAGGGAATGGAGCCAAATATCAATCACTGTAAACTCTCTCGTTCTCAAAACTTTCGTGCCATTTTCCGTGGTTGGAGTGCTGGGGTGATCTGCTCAGGTAAGGCATGTCTTGTCTGGCGGGGTCCCCAGCAGGAGCAGCCTCAGTCTCAGTCCCAGAATAACTGGGAATATAGGATCATAGTCTTTTGAGCACACTTGAGACCCCAGTCACAGAGCGAGTCCCAGAGCAGTGGGGCTCAAGGGAGCGTAAATGCTTCAAACCTGTGAGTCCCAGGACTCTTCAGATCTCTGTGGTGTGTCTTAGAAGGGAAGGAGATTGGGTCAAAAGAGACTGATCAGGAAGCCAGCAGATCTGTGTGCTAAAAGCTGCTCTACAGCTATCTAGTCTAAGACATTGAAACCTCCCTGGGTCTGTTTTCTCAGGTGTCAAAAGAAGATCCAGGCCTCGGTTTCCCCTAGTGTACCTTGTAAGCATGAGGATGTATGTCTTATGTTCAGTTCTGTTTTGGTGAACTGTTAGCCTCTATTCACAGTCCTGAAATAGGGCTTGATCAGGGCTTGAATATTTGGAAGCTTGGACCTGGAGAGAGGTCCAGTCTCTGAGAACCCAGAAGGGGGTTGTTAAAATGCATTTTGGGGTAAGTAATTTTTAAACTTACTTACTCAGAAGAATACAGGACATCCCTCAAACCCCAGTCATGCCATGAAACTCTTGTTTGCCTGCAATTTCTAGAGTCAAAGACAAAGAGTCCTATCTGGGGCCCTGTTCCAGGAACCAACCCAAAGACATTCGTCTTCTTTGACTCCATAGGTCTGAGCCCTGGGAGGAGGATTTATACCCTTGCCTGGGATGAGCCCCTGGCCCCTTCCCCAGTGCTTCAGCTAAAGGAACATCTATGTCTCTTCCAGGCTGTCTTACACAGAGTAGCCAGTCTGGCTTTGTAGGTGTTGGTGGTGGTAGGTCCTCAGATTTTACATTTTAGAAGTTATTAGTGAAGTCAGGGTATAATGAACAGTGTTTCATTATACAGTCAAAATTAGTGTTTATTTTTTTGTTCCTTTGATTTCTCGTAACATTGGCCCTTTTGAGTTCCTATAGGTTTAGACGGAAGTAGATTAGGATGTGGGATTTAGTATCTCTTAGGAATTATGAAGCACTGATGCTGACATGCCTGCAGCTGCTGATAGAAAAGCCTCTGGAAATTTATATAAATTTCCATTTATATAAATAAATAAATACAAAAATAAAAAAGGAGCCGTGTAGTAGTCACTAGTGTAAATTCCAGCCACCTTGTTCCATTTACCTGGAGACTTTAGCCAATTCTCCTTCAATAAATACCTGGGAGGCATACTAAGGAGCTTGCTGCAGGTAAGTTCCTTAAGACTCTCATCCTCATGAACACCTTCTGTTGAGGAAAAAGATAAAAATCACCAAATGAAAAGGTGTTGTGCTTACTTCTGACTAGGACAGTGAATGAATTATTGAATCACTTGAAATTCATGTTTTCTTTCCATCATGATTTTAGAGATTTGAGTACCACAAGTACATCATTAATTTTGTGAGAGTTTTGCTGTTTACATCCCAGAGCTTAAAGTTTTTAGGTGGTGTGTTGGGTCATCATCTTATAATTGGTTCTCATTACAGAGTTCTTAAATGATGCTGCCTAACAATAAATCTGAAAAACAATTTTTCTAAATTGGAAAAATATTCATTTTTCAAGTATGTATATAATATTCATTGGAAAATATTAACAAAATACTGAAAATTATAAACAATAAGATAAAAACAATGTGTAATTAGCCACAATACCAGTCATAAGATATAATCATGGTTAATATTTTATACATATTTGTGTGTACAATATATATTACATTATACAAAGATTTCTAAGGGTGCCACTCATCCTGAGAAAGATGTCAAAGAAAAACGTAAAAATTATTTTTAAGAACCAAATATGGATGGGCACACTTGAAACTCGGACTTGCGGGGGAGTGGGGAGACAAGGGCAACATACATAACCTAAACATCTGTACCCCCATAATATGCTGAAAAAAAAAAAAAGAACCAAATATGGAATTTCATGTTTTAGGACTTTCTGATGCAAGGAACAGAAACAAAATTAAACAATTAAAATTAGTTTAAGAGAATTATCAGTGTGGATTCAGAGCCTTTGTAGATATTCTGGATATAAGGGGTTACCTGAATGTGGGAGGAGCTGGGGGAGAGAAAGACAGAGGCCAGAGAATAAGAGAAATGTTACTCAAATGTCAGCCTAAAGCGGCAGAGTGGGGACAAAGCTGTCCTTCATGAGGAAGGCTGAGTGTTATGATCACGCAGTGAGAACTCGTAGAGAGGTCCTCAGTAGGCACCGTGGTGTGCAAGATGCTCGTCTGTGGCAGCTGACATGTCCATGGAACTGCTGTGTTGGCGGAAGCTGCAGCGGCTGTGGAAAACACCTTTCCTATCTGCCACTGCATCTGACCACCATGACATTCTGAGAAGAACGGCCAGTATTTAACTTTCAGGTCTCATTTAAAATCTTACATGAATTTCTCTATACCACACAGAGAAGGATCCTTGAGAAGTAGTCCCCAGGCTTAGAAGGGACTTAGAAGGTGGTAGTGGGGCCAAGTTGGCAAAAATCAGTACAGAACAATCTATCCCTTTGTCATCTCAGCATCCAAATCTACTTCTTTTAGTTGTATTTAACTTCCCCAAAGACAATAGTATCAGTATCGCAAAAGTGTGACCCTCTGAGGGCCAAATCTATCTGATGCTTCTCTGAGATTGCTGCTCATTATGTCCATTTTTGTCTTTGGTGGTTAAGTACCTCGTCTTTACCCTTGATAATCCAGGATCTCATAATTTTCACTGAGGTCAAGGAGGCAATTTTGGTCACAACATCCTTCAGCTGTCATTGCTGGCCTGTGGGAGCGCAGTCATTGTAGTTAAAGGGTGGGTGAGCAGGCACACATAGTAAATCTACTCTAGAATTTCTACCTCTCTAAGCCTTTGGATAGCTTCCTTTATAGAATTCCAAGGAAGTTCTTGCCTCTCAACTTTATTTAATGTGAACTGCTGTTACAACAACCATCCAGACAAATTTTTAGAGCCACTTCCATCAACTTGAGCTAACGTATTGAATCCAGATTTCTTGTTAGTGCACCAACATCAGTAAGTTTAGCCCAATCTCATGTTACAATCCTTTCACCTTAGTCTAATCCCTTTAGGATCAATCCTCATAATATTCCCCAGGTTACTGCTATCATAAATTGGCAAAATCTTGCAATTATTTTGGTGTGAATGATATTTCCTCAGGATCACCTTTTCCCTTGGTGCCTGCTAGGATTTAAATCTTGTTGTGTATCTAGAAGCAATAAGAATTGGTGGGAAGGGTCTACAGCCGTGCCGCCTTGAACGCGCCCGATCCTGTCTGACCTCGGAAGAATTGGTGGGAAGAGGTCTTGAGGATGAGCGTTGCCCTGCTGCAGAAGAGGTCAGTACAGGCTCCTTAGTTAAAGGAAGCTAATGTACTCATACAGGGAAGGAAGGGCTGACTGTACTGGCAAGAAAGGCTCAGTGGAATTTTGGGGTTCAGGGTCTTCAGCTTCATCAGAATCTAGCGGGATGCTCCATCTCAATTCTCAGTGCTCCCTTTTCAGGGCCCTATGCTCTACCACTCAACCTAGCTTTAACACGCAAGACCCTGAGAAGCTGTGAATTCAATTTGCATCAAAATTCAGCAGTCTGCTTGATCAGACTTTGGGTATGGTTTTTAGAAATCCTGACTGATTCTGTGGTTACAGGAGGTAGGGATTTTGTTCAAGGCAGTCATAAAAGCTTTTTGGTTCCTTACCTGGGCATTGACCTGGGAATTTAAAGTCTTGAGTTCATCATTACCTTTCTCCAGTTCTCTAGCACACTAAGAACCAATCAACCAACCTCATGATCATTATGCTATTTGATTTTTCTGTAATATTTTATTTCATCATATTTTATTACAAGACTTTGGTCACTCAAAGTCTTGGCTTCTATATGAAACTGACTCCATGTGAGCACGTATGATAATTTAAATAATTTGCTTTGCCACTGTGTGCTGTAGGCGGCCAATGCCATGGACTACCATTGTCTCACTCATTGTTGGGAATCAGGTCATTAATGCCTTTGAATCCTTGTGGATCAATGAACCAGTTCCAGATTTCACCCTTACGTTTTTTGCCTTAGTCTGTTTGGGTATCTTTAACAAAATACCATAAATTGGGTGGTTTATAAACAACAGAAATTTATTTCTCACAGTTATGGAGGCTGGAAGTCCAAGATCAGGGTGCCAGTGTGGTCAGGTTCTGGTGAGGACCATCTTCTGGGTTGCCGACTGCTGACTTCTTGCTGTGTCTTCACATGGCAGAAGGTGAGGCAGCTCTCTGGGGTCTCTTTTATAAGGGCACTAATCCCATTCATGAGGTGGAGCCATCTTGACCTAATCCCCTCCCAACAGCCCTCCCTTCTAACACCATCACTTGGGGATTAGGGTTCCACATATGGATGTTGCAGGGACACAACATTCAGATCGTAGCAGTTTAGCTTCCCCCCAAACCACTCGTGGTGCCAAGAACTGTGTCAGTATGACTTTGGTCAGGAAAATAGAGCCATTTACCAGTATTAAACAAACAAGGAGTTTAATAGAGAAATTAGGATATAACAAATGAGGGTGGAGCTGTGTGAATGAAGGTCTGGAAGGCCCCCCGCTGGAGGATTAGAGAAACCATCACTGTGACACAGCCTGAAGCAGTGGAGCAAGGCAGGGAATGGCTAACCACAGAGAAGTGTGAGGAACTCTCTTGGGAGCTTGCGGAGAGTTTGCAGAA